AATTACCTAACGATAAAAGGTCGATTCAAGAAAACATAATCAAAAATGTGTTTGCCCCTAACAACAGCTTCAAAGTACATGAAGCAAAAACTGGCAGGACCGAAAGGAGAAATAGACAGATCAATTACAGTTGGAGATTTTAACAGTCCTCTCTCAGTAATCAATTGGACTAGTAGACAGAAAATTAGTAAGGATAGGAAAAAACTGAACAGCTTTGTCACCCAACTGGATGTAACAGACACATAGAATATTCATTCTTTATAAGTGTATATAAAACATTCACTGAAATAGATCTTATTCAGGGCCATAAACAAACCTTTAACAAATATAAAATAATTGAAATTATACAAAATATACTCTGTGACCAAAATGGAATTAAACTAGAAATCAATGACAGAAAGATAATAGGAAGGTCTCCAAACACTTTTAAATTAAATGATACACTTTTGTGGGTCAAAGAGGAAAACCTCAAAGGTAATTGGGAAATATTTTGAACTAAACGAAAGTGAAAACACAACATATTAGAAATTTAGATGCTACCAATTCAGTGCTTTGAGAAAAATTTGTACTATTAAATATATTAGGAAAGAAGGAAAGTCTGAAATCAATAATCTAAGGAAGAGCAAAATACTCAGTGCAAGAAGAAGGAAGGAAATATTAAAAGAGCAGAAAACAATGGTATTGAAAAGAAAATCTATGGAAAAGATAAACAAAAACCTTGTTACTTGAAACGATCAAATAATTATCAAAAGATAATATTGATATACTTCTAGCAAGACTCATGAAGGGAAAAAAAATGAGAGAAGACAAAATTACCAGGATTAAGGATGAAAGAGGGTCTTGGTTGTGATGATCACTTCGCAGTGTACAGCTATATCAAAACATCACATCGTACACTTTAAATATATACTATTTTATTTGTCAATTATATCTCAGTAAAGCTTAGAATGAGAGAGGATAGCACTAAAGAGTGTGCAATCATTAAAAAAAACAATAAAGGACTACTGTGAAAAGTTGATGCACATAAATTCACCATCTTAGATGAAATAGACTAATTTCTTAAAAACCACAAACTACCAAAACTCATGCAAAGTGAAACAAGATAATTTTATCCTCTGTTAAAGAAATTGAATTTTTAATACAAAATTTTCGAAAAATATCTTTGGGACCAGATGGTTTCACTGGGGAATTCTAAACATTTAAGGATGATGAAACTTCAGTATCAGCCCTGGGTCTGGGCTTCAAGGGTGAATCAGACTAGCTCCTTAATTTCTGAGAATTTATGGGGACCACGGAAAGACAGGATGGCAGGTTAATATTCTTTGTAATGAAGACGCTTACAGAGAACCCACCAGGTTCACCCTAGCTACACAAATTTATTTTTAAGAAATACATGACATTTCTCATTTTCAGTTTCAGATGTTGACACATACACCCCATAGTGTTAGGTCAGTGGTTGTACAGAAAGTATTCAATCAGTCATGTACCATATAGTTATTAAACACCACCTCTAACCCTGAGCCTGTGCCTGGCAGTCCTCAGAGGAGAAGAGGTCACAGATTAGCAGGTGACACATGCATGGAACAAGTAACTACCACACAGAATGAAGGTATAGAATTAGGTACATTTGCCATGAGTGCATGGCGTAGGAAGCCAGTAACATTTTTGGGGGAGTAGAGGAGGGAACTCAGAATTCCTCATAGAAGAGAAGAAACTTGAATGAGGTCTTCAAGGAAGAGAAGAAGTCTTCCAGGTGGTCAAGGAGAAAGGTGAGAATATACAGCAGAGAAAAAAGCAAAGTGGTTATAAAATAGCACAGCGGTCAGTACAGTAAGTAGTGTCATAGGGCAGAGGGACCCAAGAGATGAACCTGAAGAGAGAGACCTGGGACCTTTGCTAAAGGACAGACCTCATTGATCACACAAGGGTTTATTTATTTATTTCCATTTTAAACTGAATTTCGTTGAGTATGTGTCATATGCATGTGGTGTAAAATTAGAAAAGTATAAAGTGTGTAGAGAATATTAAATCTTTTCCCCATGTCTCCCCCCCCACTACCCAGTTCTTCTTCCTGAAGTCAGTTGAGCATCTTTCCAGGGCTGTTTTCTGTGCATTTACAAATACGTTTGCGCGTCTATATATTTTTCACATAAAAGTGGCATATGATACTTTCTACTCCATACTTTGCTTTGTCGTATATTCATTTGGAATGTGGTTGTACCATAATTCATTGGATCAGTCCGATGTTGATGGAATTTAGGTAATTTCTAGTCTGGCTATTATAAACTACACTGCAGTGAACATCCGTGTAAGGCCATTTGCACATTAAAGTATATCTGCAGGATACATTCTTTAGAATGGAATTGTTGGTCAAAGGATAGAATCTGGCCTCATGGCAACAACATCTGCGTCCCTGTGGGTTTCTCTCTCCTGCTCCTATCAGTCTATCTGCCTACTCTAACATTTTTAGTTTTACTATTTTTAAATAAAGCCCAGTTGCTGTGTACAGAGACCATGTCGATGCCTGCTTCACCATCCCTGAGCTCACAGAGAGTGTTCTTAAACTTTTTGCTCTTTTAGGCTAGGGCTTTAGCCCTTATCCTCTAAGTGATGATAAGCCACTAGGAGGTTTTTAAGCGAGGAAGTGTCACAATCATATTTGTGTTTTGAAAAGATCACTTGGGCTGCAGTGAGGACACGAGTTTAGCAGAGACCATGAGTAGAGTCACGAGTATCAATTAGGCTTTGCAGTCGTCCAGGCAAGACAGGATTGTCGGCCGCTTGGATTAGGTAGTTGGCAGTGGAGACAGAGGGGAGGGGTTGGACACTGAGATGCTGAGGAAGTGGGTTCAGTCAGATTCAGGGACTGATGAGGCTGGGCGTGAGGGGAGTGAAGAGTTTTGGGCAAAAGTTCTGTTTTCCCGAGCCTTGTGTGCAAAGTCAGAATTTCCTTTGTAAATTTATCTCTCTCCTGTCCATATCAGTATTTCTAATATCAGAAATCCAAAGAAGGTTCTAGTATATTACTAATCACTATTGTTGGCTCCAAGCGTTTTTGTCTGTTAATGCCTTACTGGTTGTCAGAGAAGCTGGAGGAGCGTTTTTATTAAAATTCTTCAGTCAGTTGGACTTAACATTTGATGGCTCCTGATAGTCACCAAACTCTTCTATTTTTCCCATATTCATACCATTCATTCAAAATTTCATATTCAGTAAAGTATAAAAGTACAAAGTCTTTAAATTACCTACTCAATTTAAATATATTTTAATTATATATTTTTAAAAGTCTTTCATTATTTGTATATAGTAATTTATAATTTAAATTTTATATTAATACCATTATTTTGTCTGTTCAGTCAGTATCTTTCAATTTTTTTTTATGATGAGCAGTGGTAGTTTCCACTTCCCCACTTTTTTTCTCTTACACGTTCTGTCTCTTGTTAGCACAAAGTTTTGTTTCTGAGTGATTCTCTTTATATAGTTACATACCCTGTATTTCTGTTACCTGGTGTTGCAGCTTTGAATAATTAATGTCTTTGGTTCCGGGCTTGTATAGGTGACACAATCACAGAGCTTACCCCACTTGTCACCTTCTTCCTCTCCCCCTTTTGTCCTAGTTGTATGTCTGCATTGTCAGGCATAAAACACTGACATTCTGATCTGCCACGCTGAGCTCCTATGGTTTTAGTTTGGTTCTACAGGTAAGTATATATTTCATGCTCACCATCAGTTCTTGGCCGTGGTTTCCCTAATTGTCTTTTGGCTGACCAGTTTGCTCTCTAGTAGTTTCCTCAAGCAGGGCTCGTGGGAACAATATTCCTTAACCCCTTGTATGTTCAAAAACGATTTTCTTAGCAATTTCTGGGAGGTTTCTTCAGGAGTATATTTTCGATGGTGTTTTTTCAGATCCGCATATAGGGGGCTGTTCCACTTTTCTTCCCCTGTCGCCTTGGACCCCACCCTTAATGTCTTCTCTTGATTTCCACCCAGCCTTTCAAGATCCTGTAGTTTTTGTTATAAGTGGGGTTTTGAGGCTTATCACCCTAGGATGAGTCCTGTATCGACAGTAACTGTTTTGCTGACAGATTCTGAGACCTGAACAGTGTCACTATTCATCTGCTGAACTGTTTCACTATTTATTTCTCCCATACAGCGTTTGTCACAGCTCAGTCCCCAAGTGTTGCATCTGTGTACCTGCTTCTGACAACTCTAACCCATTTTTTGAGACTGTAGGTTTTATTTGCTTCCAGTTGTACTAACAGTGGAATCTGCTATTTTTTTTTCTTGTTTACTGTGTTGGTTTGATTATATTCAGGAGGAAAGGAGGCAAATTACTGTCTTCTACCACTCCATTTAGACAGGAAGTCCTTTAATTATATTAAATGGATGGCATTAGAGTATAATAGCAAAGAACACGGGATTTGGAGGGAGGCACACCTGGCTTCTATACTAAACTCTGCCACTTACTAGCTGATAACAGACAAATCAGAGCACCAGTGCTGTTATCTCTAAAAGGAGGCAATTCTCACAACTATTTCATATTGTTGTGAAGAGTCAGGTTTTATATTTAAGTAATCCCACTTCACCCATATTTCTTTCCAGGCAGTTTGGTACCACAAGAGAGAGACAGATCAATCGCTTAGAAGCCCTGGGGAGAAGAGACTCTCCTTCAAATGGCCGGAGTGTGGGGTGGGGTAACACATGAGCAGGGCCTTTGGGGAGACGCAGAATTTCTTCAGGAAGAGGTGGGAAGGGCCAGACTGGACTTGGACCTGGACGCTGGATATTCCTGATTCCCTGGAATCAGGGATTGGGGTAGGAGGGCTTGGCACTTTGTCACATGTCCTCTTCCTCCCAACCCCACGCGGGCCTGAGAAACCAGGTGGCAGGATTCACATCAGGATGGTTCTGGATAAGGTCAGAGGAGGCTAGGATGGCAGACTGGAGAGAGATCCTGAGGCGCATGAGCTAAGCTCTTCCTTTTGTCCGTATGTTCTCAGGTCCTGGAGTCCCAGACGACCATGGCTCCTACCACATCAGCCAGCAGCAGTGCTGATAGAGCCTCTGCTGGCGGCAGCACCCCCAGAAGTCAGGGTGTCATCGAGCCCATGGATGCAGAAACCCAAGAGAGTAGAACATATGCTGACAGGAAACTTGGAGACGAGAAGAATACAGAGGCAAATGGGAAGATGCAGGTGGATGGCAGGCCGCAGGGAGATGGAACGCAAACAACCTTGAGGATGCAGACAGACAAGAAGACACAGGTGAACGTTGTGACACAAGAAGGTGAGAGGGTAGTATCAGATAGGAGATCCCAGGAGGATGTGATGGCACAGGGAAGGACAGGGACAAAGGTAGGAGGGACACAGGCAAGTGAGAGGACACAGGAAGACAGGAAGACACTGGCATATGCGACGACACAGGAAGACAGAAGGATACAGGAAGGCAAGGGGACACAGTCAGAGGGGAGCATACCCACAGCCGTTAAAGGTCAGCCAGAGAAGGAGTCGGTGACCCGCCTCGGCCCACAGCCCAGAGCCCCCAAACTCCCACCTTCAGAGGATCCTAGGTCTCCTCAAAGTATTGAATACTTTGAGCAGACCCCAGAAGGGTCTTGTGTCCCGGAAAAACTTGGTTTCATGCTCAGATCTGAAGAAGCATCAGTAACAGCCTCTGGGAACCAAGAGGAAACTGTGCTGGGTCCCCGGGCAGGGAGCCTCATGCTCCCAGCACAGCTACCTCCTGAGGGTAGCTTAATGGGAAGAGAGAGAGATCAGAGCTGGCAGCGGTCAGGCCCAGTCAAGGACAAGCCAGAGGATGGCCTGTTCCAGTGCCCCAAGGAGGAGCAGCTGGGCGAGGTGCTGTCTGTGGATCTGGGCAGCTGTCCTCCCACTGGCCCAAGCCCGGAGGTGCCCACTCTGCCCTCTCTTCCTGGGGCTGGTCTAACTGACAACTCACAGCAGGGGCTGCCCAGCACCCTGGCTTCTCAGCACATGAGTACTACCTTCCTGCCCTCTGGGGACCAGGCCTTGATGAGTTCTGTTCCCGCACTGCACCTGGGGCTGGGGACCCCCACCCAGAATCACCCACCAGAAGCCATGGCAGCCAGCAATGAGGGGGCCTGCACCAAGATGCCCATTGTGGAAGAGAAGCCCCCAGGCCTCCGGAGCTGCGACCCTGGCCTCATAGATTCCCTGAAGAACTACTTGCTTTTGCTGCTGAAGCTGTCCAGCACAGAGACAAGTGCAGGGGGCACAGAGTCCCAGGAGGATGCTGTCCCCGGGGGCCCAGCACCCTCGGCCAAGCTGGCCCCAACCGTGGAAGTGGCCGGTCTGAGTCCGCGCACGTCTCGGCGCATCCTGGAGCGCGTGGAGAATGACCACCTGGTGCAGAGCGCACAGACCCTTCTGCTTAGCCCCTGCACCTCCCGCCGCCTCACCAGCCTCCTGGACCGCGAAGTGCAGGCTGGCCGCCAAGCTCTGGCTGCTGCCCGTGTCCCTGTCCCCAGCCTCCTCACTGTCCCAGCTATTGTGGTAGGCCAGGAGGAGGGCCCTGAGCTGGCTTCGGTAGAGTCGGGGGAGGGGGAGGCTCCCCTTGAGGGGCTTGGTCTCCTGAGCCCCTCCCAGGAGAGCAGTGTGGAGGAGCTGCCGGCCGAGGCAGGTGGGCAGACAGCCCCTGGTCAGGGGCCACTGTCAGCAGAGAGCAGAACCCAGGAACCTTTCCGAGAAGTCCCAGGGGAGGTGCTGACAGGTCTCCCTGCAGCTACCCCTGAAGAACTGGCTCTGGGGGCCCGGAGGAAGAGGTTTCTCCCTAAGGTCAGAGCAGCAGGAGACGGGGAGGCCACCAAGCCTGAAGAAAGAGAGAGCCCCGTGGTCTCCCCCCGGGGTCCCAGGAAGGGCCTTTCGCCTGGGTCCCCAGGGACTCCCGGGCGGGAGAAACGCTCACCTACCCAGGGTCGAAAGGCGGGCCTGCTGGCGGTGCCACAGGCAGAGGAGGAGCCAGCAGCGGGAGACCTGGGCTCCAGCTCCAAGGCCAGCGAGCTGAATGCGGAGCTGGCCCTGGATGAAGGCAAGCAGGAAACTCCAGCCAAGCCGAAGAAAGCCAAGGACCTGCTGAAAGGTGAGTGGCGGTGGGCGGTGGGGACGGGTTCAGCATCACGAAGAGGGTTGATCAGCAGAGGGCATTGCTGCAGCTGCTGGGTGGCACATGCCTGCAAAGGGTTACAGAGCATCTTCTAAAGGTATTCTCACGTCACGGTCCCACAGGCTTCGGGATCTGGAAGGCCTGCCTCTCGCCCTGGCTCTGCCGCTCGGGTTTGGTAATAGCACCAGCTTCGTAACGTTGTGAGGGTTAGATAAGGTAGAGGAAGTGCTTAGCCCAAGGCATGGCTGCAGTAGCATCCTCATCACTGTCGAGTGGTAGGGACAAGAGTCAAACGTGAGTCCCTAGAGCTAGGGGCCTTTCATGCAAATGGAAATTCCTCTTTTGGCTGCTGCCTATGCCCTCAGCTGGGGTGCTTTCCCTGGCCTGGGGAGGGGTACAGTGGGTGGTGGGTTCTTCCTAGCTAGTGTATGTGCCTTGGGGGTCAGGGCAGATGCCTCAGAGATACAGGTGGGGCACAGCTGGGGTATGTGAAGGAGTGGGTTTGTGTGGAGACTTGAGTCCTCTTTTCTCTCAGCCTTTTCCTCCAGGGACACCCAGGGGTCTCGCCAGAGAGGGCACAAGATGGAGTGGAGGGGTGTAATCCTCTTACCTGGGCCCCTCCCTGCTCCCAGCCCCACAGGTGATCCGCAAGATTCGGGTGGAGCAGTTTCCTGATGCCTCGGGCAGCCTGAAGCTCTGGTGCCAGTTTTTTAACATTCTCAGTGACTCGGTCTTGACATGGGCCAAGGATCAGCGCTCAGTGGGCGAGGTGGGCAGGAGGTAAGCCAGCTGGACGCCACCTCCCCTGACTTGGCTCCCTGATTATAGCAGTCATCATGTTGGGCATTGTCCTTACACTTTGGGTCTGTCACCTAATTTAATCCTCACAGTGACCCCACAAGGGAGATTCTAACATTCCCATAGTAGAGAAAAGGAAATTGAGGCTCAGAAGTATTAAGTTACATGCCCAAAGGCACAGCTAGTGAGTGTCAGGACTGCAAACCAGACCCGTGTGATCCAGGACCAGCTCTTGAGCACCATACCTTGCCGCCTGCCCCAGAGCTCCCAGCAGCCTCTGAGAGCGGGGTCTGAGGAGCCTCGGGACTGCAGTCTGGCCCTGGCCGTGCCGTGGTGATGGCCTTCACAGGAAGGGTCTCCACTTTCCGCAGTGCAGAGGACGAGGGGCCGGCAGCCCTGGCCATCGTGCAGGCGGCCCCTGTGGACTGTGGTGTGTACCGATGCACCATCCAAAACGAGCATGGCTCAGCCTCCACGGACTTCTGCCTCAGCCCTGAGGGTGAGTGTACCCCCGGGGTCTCTGCCCTGCCTGGCTCCTAAGGGAGGGCAACTGTCGTCTATGCAGAGAAGGCGCTTTCTCTGGGTAGACCAGCCTGAGGACAGCTGTTTTCTCTCCTTTTTATCCACACAGTTTTGTCAGGATTTGTCTCCAGAGAAGAAGGTGAAGGTATGGAGCCCCTTGGGGGAGATGGGGGTGACCTTCATTCATGCTCTGCCATCCACAGGGGGACCTTCTCCGAGGACTTGGAATCTGTTCCAAATGCTGGGTTCGCCTCCACTCATAGATGCCCTTTGCCTCCTAGTTCAGGAGAGGCTTAGGGAGGAGGGTGGAACAGGGCTATTTCAGAAGATGGTGGGGGAAGTTAATTCAGCCTGTGCCCTTTGCCCATGATAGAGCCCTTGACCGAGGGCAGGTCAGGCTGCCAGGGCACATCTTAACCCTGCCAGCTCCCTCCCCGAGTTTCTCACAGTGGTGCATGCATCAGATTCACGTGGAGAGCCTGCTAAAAATGCAGTGTTGTGGGCCCTACTGCAGCTCTCCTTAATCACCGTCTCTGGGGAAGAACCTAGGAAAATTGCGTTTCCAATAGGCTACCTGGTGACTGTGACGTACGCCGACATTTGATAGCATTTTAAAGGCTCAGACATCAGAGGAAGAGTCTGTGTTGCTCCTGCAAGAGATGCAGGAGGCGAAGGCAGCTGGTGATGGAAACATTCCGAGAGCGTCATTTGCCAACTAATGTGTTAAGTCTTTCATTTGGTCACTCATTTAATCATTCATTCAACCAGTGCTTTTTGTTCAGTTATCAAATCAAAGTTAATCAACATCAAATCAAACTTCACACCTAAAAACTCAGTACAGGCATACTTTGTTGTGTTTCAAAGAGATTGTGTTTTCACAAATTGAAGGCAACACCTTCCACCAGCAAAAAGATTACGACTCTATTGCGACACTCGCTTTGTTGCAGTGGGCGGTGTGGAACCGAACCTGCAGTGCCTCCGAGATATGCCTTAGTGAACCATTAACATCACCAGATATCCAGTCCCGTTCTTCCAGTTGTCTCATAAACGTTGGTTCATTTGAATTATGAACCAGTCGTTGCTTCGGACCGGCACGTCTCTTGAGTCTCACTGATACACCGCAGTTCTCCCTCACTTGTTTTCCCTCCATGCCATTTATTTGTTGAAGTCACTTGATATGTAGAATTTCTTACATTCAAATTTTGTTGATTATATCGCCATTTAACGTGTTCCTCCATCCATCCATATGCTTTCTCTAAACTGGTAGTCATATCGAGAGACTTGGTCAGATTCTGGTATAATTTTTTTTAAGCAAGAAAACTTCACATGTGTGCAGTGTATTTTCTTTTGCATCTTGTTTGCTGGAACATAACGTCTGATTGTTTTAGTAACGTTGAGATTGATCAGTGAGTTCATTCAGTTGTCTTCCGCCTGATCCATCCCTTTTAAAAGGAAAAAATACCTATTTGATACACCTTTATCAAGGGGTTATCCTAGGGGTTAACAGTCACTGGTTATTGCCTAAATCCATTATTTTGTAAGGATTTGCAACATGTAGTATTTTAATTCTGTCATTTCTTCTTCATTCATTAGTTGAAATTTTTCTGTGAAGGAGAACTGGTTATTTGGTTACCCTGAGTTGGTGCCTTAGTATCCTCCAATGTATCCTTAGTATCCTTAGTACCCAAACACACACACACACACACACACACACACACACACACACACCTCATACACACCAGTGAGGGGGTGTGTGTGTGTGTGTGTGTTTTGTGGGGATGGGAAATTTTCTTCAATTACAATTATGAACATACAGATTTTTGACATTTTTGATATGTTCGGTACATTGTGGAAATTATTCATTTTTGTTGGTAAGATTGTCTGATTTTGGCTAGTGGAAGCCCCTGCAGAAGCTTGGCTCCTGTGTCCTTCTGACAAGCCTCCAATCGTTTTTCAATCACTTCTTTCCTTTCTGGTCTGATAAGATACTTCATGTCCATCCTGTACACTTCCTGCCCTAGGCCTGGAATCAGCCATTTCTTCAGGGAGTGCTGGGTCTTTACAGTGGGAAATGGTAATGATCACAATTTGAGTTCTAGGAGTGCTCACTGCTGCTGGATTTGATCAAAACACCTAATTCAAAAACAGTAATTCTGCTATTCTGTATTGATTGCCACTTCCTCAGAAAACCCCTGCCTGCCATAGACCTCGCCACATCCTTACTAGGTGATGGGCACACTCGAGCACTGTTACATGATAGGGATCTGTCAGCTGCAGTTTCTGCCCTTGGAGGCTCACAGTGTGGTAGGAGACTCACTGTGTGTATATTCCAAAGAATAGTAATGGACAGAGAGTGAGCACACCTGGGTGGCAGGTGGGAGAATGTTCCTGCCATTTCTAGCCCTACAGACCCCACATCAATGAGGCAGGAACTTCTAGTTTTCCATGTTTTTCCTATTCCCCTTCAGTTGGAGAAGAGATCGAGATGACCCCTATGGTGTTTGCTAAGGGTCTGGCTGACTCTGGCTGCTGGGGGGACAAGCTCTTTGGGCGCCTGGCAAGTGAGGAGCTACGAGGGAGTGGACGTACGTACGGCCTTCGGAAAGCCTTCCAGGCCAAGGTCATCTACGGGTTGGAGCCCATCTTTGAGTCGGGCCGCACGTGCGTCATCAAGGTGTCCAGCCTGCTGGTGTTTGGGCCCAGCAGTGAGACTTCTCTCCTGGGCAGAAACTATGACGTCACCATTCAGGTACTATGTCTCATCCCCATGCCCGTCCTCCACTCTCACCACCTCCCCTTCCTCAGCCCGGGTCATGTTGGGAAGCCTGGTATGGAGCCAGAAGCCATTTCAGCCTCACCCTCGTGAGGCTCCTAGGTGATCCTTGAGGAGAGCCTGCGATGTAATCCAGCCTGCGTCTTTGGGGCTTTAGTTTTCAAACTGAATTTTTGCAGCAGAAACCTTTCTCACCATGCTCAACATATCTTGCATGTGAGATAAAGGGAAGCCTTATATGTGAGATAAGAGAAAAATGGCTGTAGGTGGGGTGGCGTGTACTCTGCTTGCTGTCCACAGCGTGGTCCCTGCGACACTGCCACCTGACACCAGGGCACCAGGAAATGCTGTTAGGAAATCATTTTGAAAACAAGTCCAAAGCCTCTTGTTTTACACATGAGAAAAGTAAGGTGCAGAGCAGGGCTCAGGTAAGGCGTGAACCCAGGTTTCCAGGCCTGGGTCTCTCCCTGCAGTCCTCTAGCAGCTGGGCCTCATGCTTCTAGAGGTGTGAGAGTACAAGGGGGCCACCTTGTAGGTGTGAGAGTACAGGGGGGCCACCTTGCTGACAAGATTGGGTTCTCTGTAATCCACAGGGGTGCAAGATCCAGAACATGAGTCGGGAGTACTGCAAAATCTTTGCAGCTGAAGCCCGGGCCGCACCTGGCTTTGGGGAGGTGCCTGAGTAAGTGCATGGGGAGCAGGGCATGCAGTGTCCAGACCTGCTGACTTGAGCTTTTGCAAAGAACAGTGATTTCACAGGGGCTTCCTGAGTTATGGCTTCATGCAGATGAGCCCAGAGCTAAGCCCATGCTCAGCTCGATGGTCCTACAAAACGTAGAAATAAAAATCCCAAGATTCAGTGCCCACTTTAGGAAAGCCTCTGCCCTGGTCTCAGTCTCCTCCCCACTACCCCAGTTCTCCATGTGAGGCACATGTGCCAGAGTTTGGACACAGCGTATTCTGGGCCTCTCTGAAGGTAGTGGGCTAGGCTGAGCTCCCAGGCACACTGGTCGGGACTTCTCTGTGGTCGCAGGCCGGGGGGCTGGGTTTGTAGGAGTCAGCTGTAAATAGGCCTTGTTTCCACTTCGAGACCTGAACCTGGACTCCTACTCTTGGATATTGGGGTCTGGCTGGCATTGAACCACAGTCTGGTTGAATCCTCTCCAGAGGTGTTTCTTTTTGACAGTCTGGTCTTCGTGCAGCCCCCAGGCACAGAGTCCTCCTGGGACCATTGTATGGTTCAGTTCTACTCTCGCTGACCTCAGAGAATGGACGAGACTCTGAAGCCAGTGATCTCCATTTCCTCCATTTTTTCAGGGTGGGGCTCCCCTCCCTTGCTGTCTTTCAGTCTCTTTCTTGGAAGGGTACCCCTTTTAGGTCCAAGAGTATAGAATTGAGATGTAGGGGGCAGCTCTCTGGCACCATACTTCCTGCTCACTGCAGGGTGAAACTATGTTTAGGATCATCCCACTGTATCTGATCTACCGGCCTGCAAACAATATCCCATACGCTACCCTGGAGGAGGATCTGGGCAAACCCCTGGAGACTTACTGTTCCCGGGAGTGGGGCTATGCCGGGGCGCCAGCATCGTCTAGCAGCTCAGAAGCCATGCAGAAGTGCCAGACCTTCCAGCACTGGCTATATCTGTGGACGAATGGCAGCTTTCTGGTGACAGATCTGGCAGGTATAAGAGTGTGAGTGTGCACATGTGTGTGAGCATGAGCATGTGGAGGGGCAGGGCACAGTGCTTGTGTACTAACTAGTCTGCTGTACACTTTCATACTTAGTCTCCTGCGCTTTTCACAGTAACTTTGTAAAGTCACTGGGACAGGCAGCATTTTGTATGGAACACTAATATGTATGAGGGCCTCCTGTAGCCTAGTCTGTAACTGCAGTTGCATTTAAAGGTATGCATTCCAGACTCCACTTAAAATTAAAAAGAAATTTATTTCAAAGAACATTACAAAAGATCTAATCAAACCTACAACCACTTTTTCGAAATCTCCCTTTCCTGCCTGCCTTGCGGCTTTGCTTTGGACTTTCTCACTCTCCATACTTCTCACACTCTCGCTTTCATCCCAGCCCTTGGAGCTTTTCTATCCCTTGCCTCCCCACGCCCTCCTTCCTTTCCTCTTCACCCTCCTCTTCTGCTTCTGTCTTTGTTAGCTCTTTATTATGTAAACCAGTGTAGTCTTTCTGACTTCTTTTTAGTGTATCTCTGTTTCTCTTATTACTCAGATTGTCCCCAACAAAGGAAGGCCAGCAAGCATGAATCCTCCTTCCTTCTCTGACCACCTTCTCCATGCCTCCTCTCTTTAACCAGAACTGGGCAGGGGAGAGAAAAAGATAAAACTTTCTCTACAGTGGGAGGAGAGGAATGCTGATTCCGTCTGGTCTCTAATGTAAATAAGTGAGAAAACCAAAAGACAGAGAGAAAACTGGCTCAAATGTGCTTTTCATGGGGGTTAAACTGTACAGTGTAAATATTGTATCTGTAACTCCGTGTATGGAGTGGAGGGGCCTAGTAACACATTAAGCCATTATCATTTACTCTTTAACTCATAAGTTCTCCCTTCCTTCCTTCCTTCCTCCCTCCCTCCCTCTCTCCTTCCCTCCAGCATTTACTCAATATTAGAAAGATAAAAAGGTGAATTAGGAATAATCATTGTCCTTAAGAAGCGATGATAAGTATACCAATTTCTATAACGAGATAACATGATATAGTAGAAAGACTTAGGAGTCAAAGATTAGATTTAAGTCTGGGCCTCATTGTTTTCTAGCTGGGTCTCTTTTTACAGAGAAGAAAACTGAAGCTCAGGTCATTTAATTCTGCCGAGCTGCAGTTTCCTTTCCCTCTCTTGGAATAATAATACCTTCTCTACCTACCTCTTAGACTTCTTATGAGGATTAACTGAGACCGTATTTGTGAAAGCATTCTGCAGACTATAAACTGAAAGTCTGCGCAGGTGTAAGGGAGTATCATTATCATAATGCAAACTAGAACGTGATAAATGTTGAAAGACATGACAAATTAATATTTACTGTATAACTACTGTGTTTCAGACACTAAGTTAGAGTCCTCTACACACTGTGATCTCTGCGAGCTTGGTAGTATCATCCCCATTTTTACAGTGGAGGATTAGAGATACTAAGTGATTTGCCAGGTTCACACAGCTCAGAATGACAGAGCTGAGATGTAAATCCAGGTTCGTCTGACTCTCAAGCCCACATTTTTGCTATTCTGTCACACAGTGGTACCCAGCCCTGTTCGTGAAAGGCAGGTTTCTAGAAGAATGAGACCAGTTTGAAAAGAAGAAAGAAGGTCACAAATCTAATGCATGAGTGCGGAGATGCTGGGGCAGACTGGCAGGGTGGAGAAACTTCTCCCTCACCATTTTGCCTGGCTTGATTCTTCCAAGGCTGTCTCGACCTAGACCATCTTGGCTCTAGCAGTGCTTGCTTGCTGCCTTTTTGAGTATGCAGAAGCCGGTCTTATCTAGTGTTACATTTCTGCTGCCCCGATTTCCCTCACATGCCCACCTTCTCTCTCCTGATCAGATTGGCTAATCTGTTAAGAGAAATGAGAAAGTTTTAGCTCAGAGCCAGCGGGCAGCCCAGTTTGTGACCTAATGTGATTCAGTAGAGACAGGGTTACACAGTTGGAAGTGTTTTGGATTTAGAAGTAAGAAAAATTGAACTTTCACTTTGACTCACAGTGGTCAGTGCTCAATGATTGAATGAATGAATAAATGTGACTTAGCTCGAGTCACTTAACTGTGCCTAGCTCCTCACCTGTAAAAATAGGATTATTATTACTACTAATAATATAGAAATACCCATGCTGCCCGTGAGACAGGCCACTGGCGATGTCCCAGTGAGAGGATGCCTGAAGATGTGCCCTGAAACCTGGCAACTTCTCATCTAAAGGATATCCATCTTGAAGACACGTGGGTCCTAGAACCAGCCTAGGCTGCCATCAGCTCCCAACTTTCTCTCTTTTCAGGGGTTGACTGGAAGGTGACTGATGTGCAGATCGCCACCAAGCTGCGAGGGTGAGTACTTCGAAGGACAGAATGCCCTCTGAGAGTCTTCTCACAGTGTCACATATCAAAGTTATTCTGGTCTCCATCCCTGAGGTGCTTGCCCATGGCCAAATGGTCCCAGTCACACTTTGGCCATACAGTAGCATCCCAGAGGCCGCTGATCCTCACTGTCTGTGCTGGACCAGCAACTGTTGACGCCCACACACGGGGTCGCCTGCAGTCCTGGACTTTCACTGTACCTGCTTCTCTTTCTTCTCACTGGAGAAAGCTCATCACCGTGCAGCTGGGCTAGGGCCCTGTGAGCAGAGCGATGCCTTAAGAGTCTGCTCTCATTTACGTTAAAAAGGCAGGTCATCCTCACACCAATTAGTGTCCCACATGATGAGTTCCATGAGCCAGGGCACAGTGAGACCTCAGTTTAGAATCGAGATTTTGGATGCTGCCACCTGAAGTAGCACGGGTCAGACTCCTCAGCACCCTCAGGTAGGGTATACCTAGGCTATGACACAGTGGCCACAACCATCCTCGAGTTGGCCCCGCAAGGACCCTCAGTCTGGGTGGGACTCCCACTCAGCTCTTACTGTTTGGCTGCAGATACCAAGGCCTCAAGGAGAGCTGTTTCCCTGCCCTGCTGGACCAGTTTGCCTCTTCTCACCAGTGCAACACCTTCTGTGAGATGCTGGGGCTGAAACCCCTCAAGGGTCCCGAGGCTGCCCACCCCCAAGCCAAGGCCAAAGGCTCCAAGAGTCCATCTGCCGGCAGAAAGGGACCCCAACTGAGTCCTCAGCCCCAGAAGAAAGGCATCCCCAGTCCCCAGGGCACCCGGAAGAACGCCCCAAGCTTCAAGGCCACTCCTCAGGCCTCAGGGGCAGTCGCTACGCAGTTACTGGGACAGCCTCTCATCCATGAGGAGGGCTCCAAGGCCCAGGGCACACGGTAGCCCCCACAGGAGGCTGGGGGCCTCCACCCAGCAGCAAACCAACAAGGAAGCAGCTCGAACTGGTGGAGACTTTCCCAATACAGACGAACCAGAGAAGGTGCACTGAGAAGGCTCCATTTAGGGGGCCTCTCCGAGCATCCTCTCCTCAGTGAGCTGCTCAGTCAGATGGCTTTGGTGCATGGCACACAGCCCAGTGGCATCTCCTGGTGCCATGTGACCCAGGGCTTCTAGGCCCCACCTCCAAGTGCCCCGGGGGCTGAGGCCCTCCTTGAAGTTTACACTGGCTACTGCTGCAGGCTCCCCGAGTCCTCTGCATGAATTCTGCACCCTAACCCCTCGCCCCAGGCAGACGGTGTCCTCTGGGGCACACAGGCTGGCACTTACCCTCAGCCCTCTGCTTGGCGCTGGTCTTTCTCTGTCCTCAGGGCTCCAGACTTCCTCTGCTGTGTCTGGCCTGGTGACTCTCAGGGTGTCTTCTTCTGGCTACTTTGCCTCATTCATCCCAGCTTACCCTGCAACTAACTTGTCCCTGAGCCTAGGTGGGGCTCAGGGCCCTTGCCGAACCTGTCATGTCCTTGTGCGGTGGTCTTTGGTGACGTGTGTTCTTGCTCTTCCTTCCCTCATCACTCAGGCACTCACCTGCTTCCCGTGCTTTCTTGCACCCCACCTCCCCATTCCTGGCTTTGAGCCCAGTTGCCGCCTACTGCCTGCTCTTTGCTCACTTTGCTTGTCCCCTTATCTGATGGCTCCCTAGCCTGCCCCAGAATCCTACCCACCAGGACCCAGGTGAGGGGCAGACTGTCTGGCCTCTAGTCCACCCCTGTCTACTCCTCCCCTACTTCTCCCAGGCGCTCTGCCCATGGGTGAGAGCTGACATGAGAGTCGTGTCAGCAGCTGTGGCCAGAGAGAAGGTGTGGACTTGGAGGGACATTGTGCTCCTTACTGAAAGGAGGTAGGGTCCTGTGAATTTCACATCCCCTCCTCACCAGGGACGGAGGGCTGGGACTCTTCTCCACAGGGAGGTAGTATGGGAATTCCAGGAAGGATGTAAGCCATCCACGCCTGGGTAGAGAGGTGTCTCTGTGCCCAGGACTTAGGACCCCTGCCCCCAACCATTAGCTCTGATGCTGGAGCTCCAGCTCTACGCCCTCATATATGGGCTCCCAAGGAATTGCTGTGCTCCGCACCCTGGGTCCTTCCTGAGAGCCCCTGCTGGGGGCCCTGGAAGGGGTGGGTCTGGAGCTAGCCTGCTCCCTTTGAAATGCAATAAAGGCAGCAACTGTGTTTCCTGCTCACCCTCATCTGGTTTGGTTGTAGGTGTATGGGCTCAGGGTCCCATCTCCCCAGGCAGGTTCTCCCAGGGCGACCTACAGTCCTTGGGCCCACTGGAAAAATGAATCCATGTTTTGGCTCCTGAATTGATGTGCAGTCTCAGCCTTATGTGGGCACAGCTCAGTCGTCTGTGCTTTTTGTGCAATTGTGCTGATGGCTTGTGCCCCTTAGCAGGGTGTCTGGGGACTTGGGCCCGGATTGGAATTGCTCCTTCATGTGGGAGAGGAACACAAAGGAACCCAGGTGGGAAAAGCAAAGCTGGGGGCTCAGGGGAAACACCAGTGTCTGGCTACCTCTGCTGCAGCCAGCCCAGCCCAGGGAACAGCCAGCGTTTGCCTCTCAGCCACTCACTGATCCTTTCCTGCCTTTCAAACAGTAGAGAGGCTTCTCAATCCCAGCCCTCCTTGCCACACCCCCAGGGCCTTTCTCTTGCCTGATGTTTATCTCCTCCCATCTTGAGCTTTCTGACTTCTCTGCCTTTCGTGCTCAGGTGACTTTTTCCTCTTGCCCCAAGGTGCTTCCAGCTCTCAGCCTGCCTATACAGATTGCCTTGCTGAACCAGAGCTGGAATATTGTTTACTTGTTTATTCATTCATTCATTTAGCAGACAGAGAGAGCACCTACTTTATGCCAGACCCTGAGCTGACAGCTCTTGAGGGGCAAAGATGTATGAAGCAGTCTCAAAAGATACTCTTTCTGTTAGGTTTCTGGGGTTTTGAGCAACAGAAGTGGACTCAGACCAATTTAAGGAAAAAAAAGGGTTCGTGGGAAGGGTGTTGTAGTAGCTCACAGAACCAGGGAATAGCTGAGCAACTGGCCTTGAGAAGTGGGGCCAGGGTAGCTCTAAGCCTGCCTTCCAGGAGCTGCTGCTGCTGGCAGGTCAATACCAACCAGCTGTCTGTCACAGTGGGTCCCGGTTTGTTCAAGATCCAAGTTCCTGGCCTGGAGTTAAGGGCCTCCTGGAGTGAGAGAGAGGCAGTTCTCCAAAGGATGGAAATTCTTTCCAGAAGAATGGCAGAGAGCAGGAGGGTAGAAAGGGCTCGGTGGGTAACAACAAAAGATACTCCCACACACGCATGCGTGTTGTGCTTCCCGTCTGATGTATTAATGACTCTTCCACATACAACCCAAAACAAATTCTTCTCTGCTAAGGGAGACCATTCAAGGTCACGTCCAGTGACTAAGTCCAAGGGTAATGACTAGGGCTACCATTCTCCAAAGTCTAGTTTCACTAGTGATACTCTGCTTTCTTTTATCACAATCCCATTTTGAAATTCTGCAACCTGTGGATTAAGTGGTAAAATTAACCATTTTTAATCAAAATTATATAACTGCAGGAAAGCACATGTGGGTAAAGGCTGCAGTCCATCTGTTGCTGGTCATGAGAACTAGCGTTTATAACTAGTGATTTTTGCCTGTTGGAGTGACCTGAATCTTCAGTATCGAAGTCCAGCTCCTTGGTGGTCTTGCCTGGGTGGCAGCATTTCTCATTGGGTGTGGCAGTACCAGGAACACTCTAGGAACCCCTCACGTCCGCTTGTACCCATACCCCTTTTCTGTAACAGGATGCATATTTTTTCTTGATAGAGTTAATCATCCTAGCTGCTCCCATGATCTCTTGTTCTGTGTCATTCAGAGAGATGAGGAGCCTGAAATGGCCAGACGCCTCAGCTTCCAGTTCGCTTGAGGGATTACTGTGATTTTTGGGAAAATACTTCCTTGGGGGACTAAAGCTTCTACACCAGCCCGGTCCCAAACCTTGGGTATGAGAAAAGCATTGAGATGTAATAACACATCCCTCTCCACTCTGTTTCCTAGCCTGTAGAAGAAATAGCACCATGACTTGGTTGCCAGTTCAGAGCTTATGTTACAACCTGTGGGCCTGACCCAACCTTGCAAGGTATTGTTTCTCAGCTGGCACCATAGCTGGGTTTTCAGCAAACCATTTCATTATACTCTCAAGCTAACTGCTTCCAGACTGGGGAGATCCTGACAAGATGAATGAGAGCCCTTGGCATCAACCCATTACTTTACTTTTGCTGTAAAATGAGTTATTTGGTTGAATGCAATATGCGGGGATGCCACAGTGATGTTGACAGCCTTTTGGTAATTCCATGGATATTGATGGCGGGAGAGGCGTGATGGGTAAGGGAAGCAAAAAAGTCCTACCCTCTTAAGCCATGCATTGGTGTAGGTTGAGGGGAGCCCAGCAGCAAGGCAGGAGAAAGCGTTGTGGGAGAGTGAGGGAGCAGCCCCCAGACACGGCTGACATAGTCAGCCATGCCTGACTATGGCTGGGTGGGTCAGACCCTGCCTCATGAGGGGCAGCGTGTCCATCTGGTATGCTCGCAGTTCAACGTTTAGGCTCCTTGTGAGCCCAGTGGTCAGCCAGAGGCCATGTCTCAAAAGGGTAATAGTTACTTTTTGGCCTGAGCATCACTCGGTTCCAAACCATAGGTTCCTCTTCTGTATTTTTCTGACCAGGACTCACCCTAAGTGTCATAGAGCACTCTGCTCCGCCACAGGCTCCATGTCATTCCCCAACATGCCTCAAGCACCACTGAATCTGCCGGGCCGTGAGGCCTGGTGGCAGAGCTGTGTTATAAAGGCTTTCTCAGCTGAAGAGCCTTCACTTGCTCTAGGCCCAACCAAAGGTGGAAGTCTAAGTTAATCAGTGAATGGATTGGAGCAAGATGTCCCAGAGTGACAGTTTTGCCTGGAATTGGGCCTTAGTAGTAAGGGATTCAAAATGCAATAATTCGTTTTATGTTATGGGGGGAAATATTCTGACCTCAACAGACCCATTGACCCCCCCTGGAACTTTATCAAGGGGGCAGATCTTTGCATTTTAACATGATTTATCTCCCATATCTGACTCATGTTATGTCTTACCAAGGCATTTAGGGAAATTGATGATCTCCAGGCCCTGTTGCCATGATGCCATCAGTGCAATACTACATTGTGGTGGTAAGGTCACTGTCCCTGTGAGCCGGGCTGTGTCATAGAGCTGGACAGTTAAGATAGTCTATATGTTTAAGCCAGGGCAGCAGTGGACTACTGCTGTCCTACCGATGAAGATAACTTGCTTCTGATGTTCTTTGTTCATCAGAATAGAGGAAAAAAATGAATTCATTAGTTCAGAGGATTTATACCAAATGCCAGGAGCTGGATAAATTCGCTTTAGCAAGAAGATCATCTCTGGCACAGCACCTGCAATTGGAGTCATCACTATGAAAGTTTACAACAGCCCAAAGACCTCCTGGTGTCTTGCACTGGCCGAGCTGAACTGCGGTAGGAACCACTGTGACTCACTCTCGAGTCCTTGGTGGTATGCTACTGTCTCTAGCTACCCCGGGGGTACAGTATTACTTTTGGTTTACCATTTTGCTAGGGAGGGAGAATTCTAATGGCTTGTACTCGTCCTGTCCTGCCACAGTCGCTCTTACCCCCCAAATCAGAGAGCCATTGTGGGATTTATGCCTATTTCAGAACTTATCCATTTCAGCTGTACCCTCAAAATAACCCCTGGTTGGCTTTGAGATTCCACTGGGTCCACTGTAGCATAGAACTTGGTCTATTAATCATCCCCGTTAATTGGCAGACTTCATCTTTTCCATTGTTCCCGGAAATTAGACTTAGCTTGGAGCTGGTGTCCTACAGAACCCCTCTCCCCAAGTTTGGGTGTTTTTCCTTCCCTTCTACAGTTCCCAGATATATGATTATGGATGCCTTTGGGGAAGGCTGCAAGGAAGGTTTGCAATATGCATCTGAGTGTTGAAATGAGGTTTCCCTTCAAAGATATTTGGCTTTGTCTCCATTGAAGGTTTGGAAATTAAGTGGGAGATGTTGGTAGCTTGACCCAGACCTGTTTGCCCAACCAGAAGTCCTTAGTCGTGGTGGTAACGAGGTAACATCTTAAGAGTCTTCTGGTCTTTTACATTCCTGGGACCCAACAATTGGCCAGCCACAGCTAGAGGCCTGGTTTCCCTGCCCACGCTTGTTGTGGTGACTCCCATACTGTGTCCTTCTCTCTACCTCTGCTGCTGAGATCAAGGAACTCATTTCCATGGCAGCTCTCCCAACCAGCATTCCAGGCCTGGAGAGGAAAGCCAGCAGAGCCTCGCCAGTTTATTTCTTATGGCAAGGAGCAAGACCATCCGGGTCCTGCCAGAGGACAGTGAGGGTGGATGGATTGGATGCATGCTGAGGACCCAATAAAGCATTCTTGCCTCCTGAAATCTGTGAGTTCCTGCCTTTCTCAGACTTTTGGTATTTTGATATAGTTTAGCATGATCAACATTTGTTCCAGGTTTGTAGTATTCAGTGCCCTCTGCCTCTATGCCCCCGAAATGGTAAGAACTCTTATCTGGCTGTTTGAGTTTCTACTTTACAGAATCTCTGGTGAGTGAACATATCAAAACATATAACCTGCACCAAAATTATGTACTGCTCCCTTGGTCAAACAGTCTTAGAATGAGTTTCTATCAATTTTCCCTGTATTTTTTGACAGTGTATATTATCTAGTTCATACAGTTTCTTCTGGGTATAACTTCCTTTTCGTGATCTGAATCTGCCTGTCATCCCCTGGGCTGTGTTAAGTGTGGAGTCTCGTTACTAGCAGATCAGCTGCATAGTGTGGGTCAGGGTCTGGGTCTCAGTTTTGTAACGTGATGACCATTGAGCTGATCAAACTCAGGGAGGCCCTCTCATTCACTAAACTTACCAGAAAATGGAATTTGTACACCAGAAACTCGATTTGCTAATTTTTAATGAGAAATTTAGCCATCCAGGGGACTAGACACTAGTGTTTACCCGACAAGTAAATTCTTCCCTTCTTTTTCTGAAAGAAAAAGCTTAAGGGTATCCATTATGAGAAGGTCGTTTAGTGAGCTTAGAACAGGTCAGACAAATCCTTAGTTCAGATCCAGCTTTTCTAGCCATGTGAATTTGAGCTTGTTGCTCAACATCTCTGACCTGAGGTGCTTTATCTTTTTAAAAATCTTTTCACTAATACATATAGACCACCTATCATATGTGATAATTCTCTGTCATGGGTGCATAATAGTGAACGAAATAGACATACACTCCTCTCTGAAGAAGTTCACAGTGTGGTGGGGTAGCCAAACACTAAACAAACATACCAATAAGTGTAAAATGGCAAATGTAGTACTAAGTGCTATGAAGCAGAAGAATGAGAGAGAATCCCAGCAGGGGGTGGGGCCTAAATTAGACTGAGAGTCTTAGGAGCCAGTCTGAGGGGGTGATATTTGAGCTGAGATCTGAAGGATGTTGGTGAGAGGAAGGGGAAGGTGGGGAAGCGTTGCACCAGGAGAGGAAACAGTCTGTGCAAGGGTCCTGCGTCAGGTTACGGTAAGGGCAGAATGAAAACTCGTGTGATGCGTGCAGGTAATCAAGAGGACTGTCATGTCGCAGTATGAGGCTCTGGGGGAGGGCCAAGCACAGGACATCTGCAGTGGGCACTAAGGGCAGCGGTGCCATCAGGTGGGATCAGTTACAACTGGAAATAATAGAGAAGCCCGCGAGTGACAGTGGTTTTAAGCTAGAGAAAGCTATTTCTTCCTCGGCAAGAAGTCTGTAGTAGGAGGAGATCTGGATGTGAGCCACCTAGGGCCGGCATGGCAGCTCTAGGATGTCGTCGGAACCGAGGCTTCTCTCTGCTCTGTCTTCTCAACCCAACCAAGGGTAATAATTGATCCTAAGTGCAACATCATGAATAGAAGAACTAAAATAGTAATGCAGCTGTCAAACACTACACAGTTAAATCTTCGTGTATATAGTGGTAAACAGATAACATCTAAAGTTGAAAATAAAATATCTATATTTATGTATCATCTGTCTGTCCATCTGTCCGTCTGTCCATCCATTTATCCATCCATCCGTCCACCCACCCACCCATCCATACATCTATCCATCTATCTCATCACTCATCTGTTTTATTTATAGAGGTTACTACCAGAAGTAAAAAGCAAGAATGCTTGTTTGTGGTTGTCAAGGGTGGGGTTGTGGGGAGTGGGGCTGGTCTCTGGTTTTCCCAGCTCTGGTCTCCCTGAGACTAATGATGAGCTTCCTTTAAATTTCTTTTGCTTGTTACTCACTTGGATTTTACTTGAAACTGAAGGGCCTACGGAGGGACCCAGCTCCCTCTGCTTCAGGAAGTGCCTATCAGAAATTGGGATACAATCTGCCTATTAGATTCTATCCCATTCAACTAGACAAATTTGAGCTCCCTTATTAAATTGCAAAGGCAAATATGAGATTGATGGAACTTGGCCAGACTGGAGTATGTCTTCAGGAGGCTGTTTTGTGGCTGGGGCTGCCTCTGGGTAGGAGGCACCTGTTGACACCCAGAGGTCCTGTAACCCCTGAGAGACTGTCCTCTGACGTTGGAACCGATGTGGTTCAGAAATGGCTCTTTCCTATTTTTTCCAAAAGGCAGTGAGGGGCAGCATCTACCAGATACACAGCCTCAGGGGACACACCACACATGAGGTTGAAGGACCTCCACCCTGGCACTTGCAGCATGTACCTGGGTGGTGGAGCTACAACAGGACATGATTATGTGGATTCCTGGCTGAGATAATGGCCTAGTCAGCTCTGCTGGCCCCTGGCTTTGTAACGAATTGAGTAGTGCATCCAGGCCCAATATAGGACATGCCCTTGTGGGTTCCAGCCGACTGACATTCCTGACCAAGTTAAACACCCTGGTTTCACACTAAACCTCTTCAGTTCCACCAGACCCCATGAGAATTCTCATTGGAACAAGGCTATAAACAAGTCCAGCATCCTCTCTGAGATTCCCCTGAGATAGGCAGAGTACCTGTGGGGAAGAGACTCTGCTTTGGCCTGGCCCGTCCAGACCAAAGCAGCCTAGGAGTGAGGGATGCCAACAGAGCCAATGAGTTCTCAGCCGCAGCGGATGCTGCTGGTGCCCTGCCCAGGTCCCGTTTAGCATGGGCATCCATCTCCCTGGTGCTGTGAGTTAGCTCACAACTGCCCCTTGTCTGAAGAATTGTCCTGAGTTGAATGGGAGCCACTTACCTAGGAGGCACCACCCCTTACCAACCCCTTCCCTAGTCCCTGGCCCATGACTTTCTGGCCTGGCTTCAAGATGGGACTAACCTGTGGGAGAGCTGGTGTTCCAGAGTTTCCCTGTGGGATCACACTAAAGCCAGGCTCTCACTTCTTACCCCCACCCCATCCTGTCCCCCTTACTCCCCTTCTGCCAAGAGCCCCTTTCTGCCCTTTGGAAATAATAGGAAAAGGCTACCTCTAAGCCACATCAGTTCTGAGGTCATAGGCCAGTGCTTTATGGGTTCTCAAGCAAATCACTTGAACAGGAATTCTCATCTCAGGCCAAGGAATCTGCCTAAGATATACCGGGCACCCTGCTATGTAGACTCGGTTACTGGCGGAGACATTTCATTGGGGCTCTTTTTTTTCTATCAGGGCAAAATGTATGTCCTCAGAACAGTTGGAATCTAATTAATTATTCAAGTTATGTGGCTGATTTCCTGATAAATCAGCCGCTATAGAATTTGTGCTAGGTCTTCCTCAGGAAGTCGCTCAGGGACACAGTATCCCCAATGTCATGGAGTCTGAATAGAGAACACAGTTCACAGCCATCGGGTCTGAGTGTGGGCCCAGAATTCACCCTGCCTGCCAAGCAGCCCGTGAAGTGGGAACATGGGGTGGACGCCTCAGGTGCCAGCTCAGATCTCCCAGGTATGAGCATGTAGCACAGTGGCCCATGGTTCCACCTCAGGCTGTTCAACTTCTCAGTAGTTGCTCCACTTACGGTGCTGGCTCCCCCATCACACACCTCCATGGAGGACAGGTGGGAAAAATGGTGACCACTACCTACCTACCTGAGTTACTGTGAAGGGTAACTGAAATAGTGCAGGTAAAGCTCTTAGCACAGCCTGGCACATGCCAAGCTCCCAGGCGTCACTCAGCTGGTGCCGTGGTCATTAGCTGGAACTACAGGATCCATCTCAGGGCCCACTCACACACTGTTCTCCAAGCTGGGAGATCCTTCAAGGTGGTACGACTAACAGATTTCTACCTCCACCCCTAGAAATCATCCCTCCAGCTTTCATCTTGTGTGAAACAGCACCGCCTCCTGACCCACACGCCGGCCAATGTTGACCTCTTATTGTGGGTCAGACTTCCCACAAACCACCACTGCATTGGAACTGAAAGGAACTGGACACAACCTTTGGAATAATGAAACTTGCTTCTACAGGCATAGTGAAACAGGAGTATTTCAGAATGAGTCATGGCATGTAATTGGCAGGTCCACACACAACAGTTGGCACTAGTCAGAGGAGACTAGTGCCATGGCACATGTTATCGGTGGAATCACCCGTGTCGAGGGAGGCAAGATAGGCCTGGACAGTTCAGTGTCTAGATGTGACACTCAGAGGTGTCCATTTCGTTCTTCCTAACAATTGTATTTAATTTGTGGTGCCCCACTTATGGACACTCCCATATGAACACTGCCGGTCTACAATAGGTTCACTTTACTGGCTCCTCCCAGGAGGCCTGAAGTCCTCTTCTGTAAAATCTGGCTTTGCTCTAAAGTTCAGTAGGTGTCACATCAGACCACATCTCTGACAGGGGGAGAAGATGGAACAATCAAATTATTTTTGCCTATATAATTAGCCAGCTTATCACTTGTGACTCAGCATCAGTCTCTGGGCCAAGGAGGCATTGGAGATCCCAACTAATAGCTCCTATAGCCCCTGCCCTCGGCTGGAGGAAAGTGGTGTGCCTCCGAAGGAGGATACAGCTTTGGGGGTGAAACTCACAAAAGCCAGGGATATCATCCTTGAACCCAACGGGATGAGGTGAATTAAGAGCTGCCTTGGTTTGTAGAACATCTTAACCTGGACCAAACTGAAAAGGAAGCATCTCAGTCTCTCATTATATAAGAGCTAACATGAGGTATAGAAGCAAAAAAGATGGAAGGTAAAACAACAATGAAAACAAAGAAATGTTTTCCACAAAGTAGCACCAAGTTAAATATTTGGAAACAGTGATCTCTGAACTGCCTCGTCTTTTAAATTTCCCCCGCCTGGTGGTCTTGGGCACTCTTGATGTGGGTCCAAGTATTCTTATTGTATCAGTCCTTTATTGTTAGCTGACAGAGATGACTCCCAGACCCATTCTTTCATTTGTTGGATAATGGCCATTTGTGCCCATCTGTTCTCAATGAATAGAGAGGATCAAGGGGTGGACTGTATCAGGCGATCCTTGGACAGTCATGCCAAGCAGGCTGGCAGGGGCAGTTTGGCCTTTTGGGTATTGGAGTGCTTACTATGGAGTTGTGAGAAGAGCTCTGTGTTCGGAGTCGGGATGGTGCATCCCATGGAAAAGGACCGGTAGGAGATACAAAAGCCTGCGATGGACAAGAGCTTCAGTTTTTGTATTTTGCTCTGTCATCAGAGTTTGTTTTCTAGCTTAGAATATTTCTGCTATGACTATAGGAAGCTCATGTTTCAATGCCCCAAATGAGAAAAGAAATGTATTGCGTGTCCTTTCTGCTGACCAGCCCGGGTTTGAGAGAAAATAGGTTCAACGGAGAAGAATGGTGAGGTCTTGTTTATGGAACCTAACCAGGGACCCTCTTTTTGTCCACTGCTTGACTTCATTCATCTTCAAAGAGCCAAGAAATGGGAGCGGACAAGATTAGATTGCGAGAAGAAAATAGATTGTTGAACACTCTCGATGATGATGTCTTCCTTTCACAGGCCTGAGTGTTTCACTCACCACTAATAAAAATACCGTCTTTATTATATCAAAGCCTAGCAAGGAGAAGGGATTCTCTCCCACTCTTTGGCCAAGAATTCCCCAGAAACAGGAGGTGGCCCCAGAGAATTAAAACCAGAAACAGGTAAGTGGTTGCCTCTGAGGAATTGGACAGACAAGGAAGAGGTGGAGCAGCCTCTTCATTACAAATCCTTCTAAGTACTGCTCTGCTTCGATTGGAAGGGAAATTGTGTTTGCGTGTCTTTCTGTGTGTGTGTATGTACGTGTGTGTTGCGTATGTGTATCCTGGTCCCAGCACCTCACTCTGGCTCAGTCCTAGGCCTCAGACATCATCTCCTCAGGAAACAGGCCACAGGGGGTCAGGTGACACGCTGAAGTCACATAGCTGGATGGGGCGGAGCCAGAACCTCCAAGATCCCCCAGCTCTTGGACTTCCCTTGAGGACTCATCCCAGTCTATCTGGGCTCCCGACTGCCCAGCCTATGGTCAGCCAAATGCCAACTGAAAAACTTGTGTGGCTTCTAGGAGCCAGGATTACAATTGGCCACCCTTCCTTGAGCTGGGGAGCAGGGCAGACACACAGGATCTCCTGACCTAGAGGAAGAGAACTGTGATTGTTAAACAGTCTTCTTTCTGCTGGGCTCTGAGATAGAGGAAGCACATGAGAGCTCCCCCTTCTGGCCTCCAGACTTTATTTTAAATGAGGTTTCTGTTTATTAATTTTTACACAATCAAGGCAACACATGGGCCCCCTCATGGAGTGAGTGGGGCAGGGTGTAGATAGATCTCTTCCCAAAAAAGCAAGTTGCAAAAAAAGCTGGTATAGTATGACCCCTTTTGTAAAATGAATAACAGAAAATTGCATTCACTTAGGAAAAAAAGTCTGAAGAAAAATGCCATGAACTCTGGTGATCATCTCCAGAAGGCTCAGATTAGAAAAATTTTTGACTTCCTGTGTTTTGTATATTTTTATAAAATTTAGATGTTTAACATTGCATGTGTAATGTTTTGATGAACAGAATGACAGACAAAAAGTTT